GTACCAACACTAGACGGAACATATGGAGGAGTTAGCACCTGGGTCTGATGAAAGTTGGGAAGTAAGGAAATCACTGAATAGACTGCGTACAGGTACAACAAGATCCAGAGTTGCCTGGAACAACTGCAGTTTTTCAGTGGCTTCTGCCCTTTGAGAATGCGATGAAATGCAGAAAACAACACATATGCCTATCTGCCCTTTGTGCCCTGATCAGTACACATTTGAGGACCTTATGGCAGTGCAACAGGACACAATTAACGTTGCTAGATTCTGGGCTAGTTCTGTTTATCTTGTACATGTTTTAATTTTATATTTTACATTTTACACTTCTTGCTTTATAATATGCCCCAATATAATATATTGTTTGTTTGTTTGTTTTCTGCCTTATTTCAACTGTGCTGCTTCTGACAGGAGGGAGATGCTATTTATATTTCTAGGGAAAACAGTAATAGTACAAGTAGCAGTAACCACAATAACAATAAAGCAGGGCAAAGTGTGTAAGATTTTGGTTTTCTGAACTGCTAATGATTGTGGAGAATGGATATTTTTTAATTTGCTACAATTAAGGAAAGTGAACTTCAGTTCATATAGTCTAAAATAGCTAGTCTGAAGGCTTTCATGGCAATCATTGTCTTCCATTAAGTACCAGAAGACCAATAAACGTAGGACTACCTAATTTTGTAGCACCGTGGATCTGAGCAGTGACTGAAGAAAAATTCCCTCTGAATCATGTGTAAGCTGCTCTGAAGAAAAGCACCACAAAAAGAACAAAGAAACACCCTAGTGCATATTTTAAATTCCATACTAGTGTACTATCTTTACTGAGGCAACCAAAAGTTCATAAAATATATGAAAGCTTTCAAGATCTCTAGATCTCTCCATCAGGTAAAACCTGAGTTGATGTTGAAGTATTAGTGTCTGCATGAACAGTCCTGAGATGGGGAAAATAACATTTCAAATTTTTGTTATGTCCAATATAAATACCTTTTCTTTTGCATGACTTGAGGAATGCCAAATTTAGCCATTAAACACCAGGACCATATTATATGAGAAGAAGAGAATTTTATGCTACCTGAAGTTGGGCCTTGATTGTCTGAGGGTTCACCCCTTCCTAATATGAGGTACAGCTACCCAGTTTGGTTCCCATTGAATTTTTTTCAGTTAGTAATGAATCTAGAATTATCTTTGTTAGCATACAGACTGCCTAGTTACTATTTTCCATGGATAAAGAAGATTGTATGCTGCATCCAGGATGCATACTGCCCTGTGTAACAGCTGGATGTTATGTTTTTGAAGACAGGGAATACAACTTTTGGCCTTTTTTCTCCCAGTGATCTGAGCAGCATCAGGAACTGTCCCAGTATGTCACTGGAGATGGAGGAAAACTCCTTGTGGATGCAATTAAACCATTCCTTGTATGTGCCAATAGCCAAATAAATTTTGAGGCAATGAGAACAGCAAAGAAACAGTATCTCACTGCCTCCATTGGGTCCAATCTCTGCCACCCAGCAGAGTTCTCTAAAGTTATCTGGTGCCTACTTGGAGCCACCTGAGGCCCACTGCAATCCATTTGCTAGGTGCTCCCAGGATGAAATCCCTTGCATCTGCTGATGCACAAACTCTGATATTGCAGTGGAATCTGTTGAGAGCACAGCCCGGTCATCTTTTTTCAAGTGAGTTCCAGTTAATATAGCTCAAGGATGTGTTTATTATGCTTATTATTCTTATGCTTATTATTATTACATTTCTAAACTGCCCATAAGCCAAAGTTCTCTGGGCAGTTTAGAATAATAATCATAAAATCATACATCCAAGTCACCCATCCAGATTCTAACCAGGCCTGACCCTACTTAGCTTCCAAGTTGAGACAGGATGAGACACTTCAGGCTATATGGCAGCTCTGTTGACAAGGTGCTTGAAGAGGTTTGCACAACCATGTCCATACAGGATCCTTAATCCTTTGGCTAATAAAGCTACCAGAGGGGGAACCGCTGGCTCAGCCAGGAGGTGATTAATGCCTCTTTACTACAAGAAGTAGCCTCATGCCACCTGAAACAAGTGGTGGTAAGGACACTCTTGAACACCATTCTAGACTCAGATGATCTTAAAAATGTAGGCTGGTACCAAATATCCCCTTCCTGGGGCAAGGTTCTTGAGCAGATAGCAGCCAACCTGCTCCAAGCACTCTTGGACGAGACTGATTATCTGGATCCATTCCAGTTGGGTTTAGGCTGGATTTTGGCACAGAAATAGCTTTGGTCACTCTGTTGGATCCTGTGAAGTAGCTCAGGCTAAAAGTATGAGGCTGATCCAAAATTACCCCATAAGCTCCATGGCTGAGTGGGGACTAGACAACCTGAAGCTATGCGCATCCTGAATTTCAGTCCACTCTGGCTCTCTCATGACACACACATAAACATGATACATGCACACTATTTCTCCTTCCCCAAGTGGTGCAGTTTTGATTAGCTTTGTTTTTCAGATGGACATGTCACATTATTCATTCATTTCTTTAATTAATGAGTTGCCCAACAGACATAAGTCTTAGGGAGACATGCATAATAAAAACAAACTATATAACAAAATATAATTTGTTGTTAGCTTATCTCTGAGCTGTATAGCCCATAAGCAAGACAGAGTGTCCAGGTTCAGACATTACACTAATAATCTATGAATGGGTCATTCATAGGTTCTTTATATAAACTGGAAATGACTTGCAAATGCTTCCCATACTCCATGTATCCCCACCAGTTGGGAGTTCACCCACATTTACTACTATGACATACATATTGTCCCAGGGATTAGATACCAGGGAGGCAGGGAAGTTAATTCCTGTTTATATTTTAAAAATCCAATAGGAAGCTTACCACAATTACAAATAATTTAGTTATTTCATTCCTCATTCTTGATAACAGATTCTGTAAATGCTTCCTAAAGGAAAATGTATTCTGAAATCTGCTAGGCTTAATGAATCTGTTACTGTGCAGCTTGAGGTCTGTTTCCACTTTACTCCAAGTTATTGGAATCTTTCCATTTGTTTTTCCTGAATGTTTATACACAAGTACACAATATGCTTATTTTGAAATACAAAGAGCTTCTGTATAGATACAGTAAGTAAATTTTCATACACTGTACCACCTGCTCTTAACAAATCTGTGCAGAGCAATATAGACATTAGACAGAATCACTGGGAAGCAAATGGCACACCTGAACTATTTGCATATGTTCTGATACACCTTCTGCCCTTACTGATGACTAAACCAAGTGATCTGATGTGCTATGAAAATGGTCCTCACAATACAAAACCTGTTTTGCTGATGGCTTCCAAAATCTGATTTGTTTGGGAGCAATAAACCAGGAGCCTGGGTTCTTCCACCTGGATGAGCTAATGTTTCCTGGTAAGTTTTAACTGCTCACACAAAGGGAGGTATGAATGTGCTGCATGCAGTAGCATGCTGCTTGTGCACAGCAAAGCAGGATAAGCCAAGCAACTGTGCAAGTGTAACAGCTGTAGAACATGCAAGATTTCTGTAAGAACTTAGCAGTATAGTAGTCAAGGTTAAATACATGCTTGGGCAAAGAAGGCAGAGCCAAAGTGAGCCTGATGCCAAGTTTTGGTCAAATTGTTAAGTACAGGTGGTAGGTGTATCACATATTAGCCATTCGGGTTCATGCACATTATTTATTTATTTATTAAAACATTTTTATGCCGCCCCATTCGCCAAAGCCTCGGGGCGGCTTACAACATAGATAAAACAATAAGTTAAAATATCCATATAAAATAATCTTAATTAAAACACACATTATAAAATAAGCCGCCCTGGCCAGATAAAATTCAATTGTATTTAGCATTTAAACTGTTGCTTAAATAAAAAGGTCTTAGCCTGGCGCCGAAAAACAAATAACGACGGCGCCAGGCGGACCTCTCTGGGGAGCGCATTCCATAACTTAGGCGCCACCGCTGAGAAAGCCCTTCTCCGAGTAGCCACCCTCCTAATTTCTCTCACGGAGGGCTCCCGGAGCAGGGCCTCTCCCGCCGATCTCAGGGGGCGACTGGGCAAATATGGATGTAAGCGCTCCTTCAGGTAACCAGGACCCAAGCCGTTTAGGGCTTTATAGGTCATTACCAACACCTTGAATTGGGCCCGGACTTCAATGGGGAGCCAGTGAAGCTGACTGAGAACTGGAGTCATGTGAACATAACGTCCAGTCCCCGTCAGCAGCCTGGCAGCTCTATTCTGAACCAACTGAAGTATCCGGACCGTCTTCAAGGGTAGCCCCATGTAGAGCGCGTTACAGAAGTCAAGACGGGAAGTCACCAGCGCATGAGTCACTGTTGCAAGGCAGTCATACTCCAGGTAGGGGCGCAGCTGATGAATCAGCCGAAGCTGGAGGAAAGCGCTCCTCGCCGCTGTTGTCACCTGAGCTTCCAGTGAAAGCTCCGGGTCGAGGAGCACTCCCAAGCTGCGGACCTTGTCCCTAGGAGGGAGTGCAACCCCGTTCAGGACAAGGTTCAGGTCACCTTCTCCGAAGCCTGAACCGCCTACCAACAGGACCTCCGTCTTGTCTGGATTGACAACACATTCAACACTGAGTGCTCTTGACCTTTAATAAGAGCATTGAGAGCACTGACTGCTTTTGATATTTGATAAATATTAGTTTAAGATATGATTGATGCATGTTACAGATACTATACTGATACTGACCAACTTGATTGTCTTCTAGAAAATTTGCATACCATCTTCTTTTATAGAAATAATAATGGTAATGGAAGCTACGTCTTCAGTGGACTAGTTTGAATGCAGACCAAGTTTTCCTGCTAAAACATTAGTTTTTTAATTGTTTGCTTACATGCATAATTATTGCCCAAATCAATTACTATATCCATTCAGCACATATCAAATGGATTTAAATACCAGTCATGTGTTTTGTAAATATAGTTTGCTGAGTAATCACAGTATTTTTGGCATCATATTCACAAACATTAACTATCCACGCACCTTTTTTAAACCAGCAAAGCCTTCTGACTCCAGAAAGAAGAAAGCAAATGGCATCAGTACAAACAAACAAAGATTGGAAAAGAGGGAAGCAAGGTTCCATAAACCTAAACAAAAGAAAAACATACATGGTACTGGTGAAAACTGCAAAATATTTCAAGTATTATAAAAGAAGTGTTCTAACACTCATGGATGGTATTAGAGGGCTCTGAAAGAACATTTTTCTGCAATACTTCCATTCAAATACAGTAATATGCTTCATTATTTATAGCTATTTAAATTTACCAGAAATTAAAAAAAGGCTTACATTTCATGACGGGTGGGGGGGGTAAAAATGTCTCCATATTCAAACAAGGCCATGCATCATTGTCTTCACTCTGATTTGGCTTCTCGTTTGTGATGCAGATAAATCTGATTGGCTGCATGACGTATAACATCAGTATGTTGATCAGAAGACCCCAAATGGCTAGATCAGCCTTCCTCAATTAGGTCCCAGCCAGCCACCTTGAACCTCTCTTCAAGGTCCCAGCCACCATGGCCAACAGAGAGCACCGTGCTGGGGAAGGCTGGGGTAAATCATGTAGCCAGCAAGAATAATCCTATGCCAATGCAAAGGGCAAAATTTGGGAGGATGTGAAAGAAAATCTCTGGCCCTAAAACTCATTTTTTCATTTCAAAAAATGTGTCCACCAAAAAACATTTCAGTTCTATTGCTGATTTCCATTGCCTACAAAAGATCCTATATATCATTTGATGCTTACTGGTTTCCATTGAACCATTGCCAAAAGACTCAATGGAACTGACACCGTCACTACTCTTTTTAAAATTCAGAGTACTAGAAATCCTGAACTACTTAGCTTGAAAACTAGATTGGCATTTAAATTATCTAAGTTTCATGCCACGTGCTGTCTATTTTTCTGAATATTACTGCAGGCTGCACAATATGAAAACTCAAGTCTCATTCTTTCATGTTCTGCATACATAATCTGTTTTGCACCTTCTAGTTATTCTCCTGTGCTTGTAATATTCATAAATACTTTTGCAAGGACTTGCATGTCTGTGTATGAAGACACATGAGCAGCCCACAGCCAGTAACCTTTTAACACCAGAAGAAGATATAATGCTGGAAGAAGCCATGGGGCGAGGATTGGCTAAGAGTTCAGAACAGCCACACCTTAAGCACTTATACAGCTGATGAAAGAAACTACAATGTATGATGGGTTTTATTAGCAAGCACACTATCCTTGCCAGCCTAACTCTGATACCATCTGAGTGTTAGAGCACTGAAATAGAAGAAATGGGCAATTAAGTATTTTACCAAGTCTGATAAAGCCTCACCCTTGCCTACGGTACTCTGTGGAACAGAAAGCAAGGTCTGTGTTTAGTCGCTGTGCAGTTTGCACTATATTCTATCCCCATCTGCTGGACACACAGGAGATAGCAAAAGCAGAATCCTTGCATCTGAGAAATTCAGAAGTAACTATTCTGCATTTCCTCCTACAAATGTATACAGTATTTCACCTGTTTTAAAAATGGTGTTTATTTCACTGGCTAAAAATTACTGCTCTGGCTTGCCAAACATATCACAATAAACTAGGAAAAATAATTAGACACTGGTCTGCACAAGCCATTCATCCATGTATTTATAACAATTACATCCCACTTTCCTTTCAGGACACTTAAGGCAGGATAATAGCCCCCATTTCATCCACAATCATGTAGAATAGGTTATTTATGTATTTATTTATAAAAATCTGTATGCTGTTCAATTACTTGTGTCTCTGGACAGCTTACAGCATAAGCCGTCCATACGGATTAGGCTAAGTGTGTACTCAAACCTGTATCATTCTAATCCTAATCCAAAGCTCTATTAAACTACACTACCTCTCTCAGCTTCAAGGCAAGGAAACTGAAAAAACCCTGCCTTTCAAGTCCAGTTTAATCATTTTATTGCCAGACTGCCATCTGGTATAAAAGGGACTTTTATATAGATTCCCACACATCAGGCATTACACCTGAAGCACCAGGGAAAAGAGTATTGCAGGAGATCTGTGACTACCTCAGAAAATGGGGTACCCTAACCCTTATAAAATGACACAAGAACTCTTCACTGGCACCAAGCAGCAACTTTTCCTGAGTTTCCTTATTCCCATATGAAACTATAACGGTAGAGGAGCACCCTGCAAATCCAGTGTGGATCACTGAGGGTTATCTAGAATCATACTTTTATCCACTTATAGCATTAAAAAGATTTCAGCCCAAAACCACTCCATTCATATATGTATCAGAAGTGCTGCCCGTTTATTTAACTAAGCTTACAGTAACTAAGTAGTCCCACGGACTCTATGTAGCTAACAGTACGCTCATTATTCTACCCTACTGCGTATCCACAAAAACCAGTTTTAATTTTTTTTAAATTATAGCAATTCCAAAAGACGTACAACCTCAGGCTCTTGCAAGCCCCTAAGAGAAAAGATCATTTCAAGCTGATAGACAGATACCTGTCTCCATACTTAGGATGGAAAATCTTTCCTAGGATATTCTGCATGCCCTTGTGGAAAGATTGGAAGCACAGATAGTGCACGTAATGAGAATGTTGTGCTACAGTCAAGTAGCAATATTAAATAACATTCATACTAACCATGAATTAGAGAGCCATTTAACCACTGAATATAGTAGCTTTGTGGGAAGGAGAGCAGGATCTCATTGCTGATAATTGAGAAAGGCAGAAGAAGAACGGCACCAGCTGAAACAGCAAGAGTAAATGTACTCAAGAACAGCCTGAAAGTCAAAAAGATGCATTATAGTTATTTCCAATACAACAGTCCAGAAACTAATCGAAAATTAATGCAAAGTTCTCTTTTTACCACTATTTACAACTAACAAATATTATTTGTAATTATCTTTATTCAATATGCAAAATTTAATATTAAAAATAGAATGGAGACATTCTAGAGCACAAAGTCATTGCATGCCATTTGTATAAACCTTCCTTGCCTGTTAAAGCAGGCAAGGGAGTGAAGACCAGATATGAACATCCTACTATTTCTAGATAGAAGTAAAACTTAAGGAAAGCAATATTTTAACCATATGTATATGTAACTCAATTAAGTTTATATCAACTTTTACTGTCCTCACTTCTTTCTATTGCTCTCTATTCTATTGCATGGAAGCTGCTCAAAGAAAAAAAAATGTTCTCTTGCACTTTGGAAGGTGTGTGCCAAACTGGGCTCCACAATAAAAATGTGTATTGGAGCGTTTTTAAAAATGAATTTTTAAAACACACAAGGTATTTAGCCATTCGGTGAATTTAAAAGAAAAGAGTGGTAAAATTTCTTCTTACTGCACTTTTCTGGATTCTGAAGACCTGAGGATGGGTATTATATACCAACACAATTTGAGCTAAAAGACAGTGTTAAGGATTCCAGAAAACCTGAACCCTTTGAGAAAGCCTACAGAATGCACTAGTAACACTGAAATTTAAATCTAGGATAGGTTACATCTCACAACATCCAATTTTCAAATGGATTAAAAATAATTCATAGTATTCATTTGCACTTCTTAATTCTTACATATTTCTGCATATTCAAGAAGATATTCAATAAATGTAAGTGAAGTCACAAAATAGGATTACAATCACTTGCAATTCCAAAAAATTGTTAAAAATAAAATATTATAAGGCTAATAGTCTAGCAAATTTAACCATGCATCTAAAACACAACTAAACTATATTTAAGGCATAGCACTAAACAATGCATAGAAAATATACACATACAACATGCTTAGCCCAGCAAATAAAATCTCTCATGGTTAATGGAAGCACTCCCTCTGCTGTAGCATGCTAGTATTACCAGAATATTGCTATTTCATGCAGGCTGAAAAGTTAAGTTAGCATGTAAGTGAATTCAAACAAAATTTGTTTTGCAGATAAAGAGCAAAAAGGGGAAAACGCACTAGGAAGGAGGAGGAAGAGGAGGAGATGAAAAAGACAAAGCAGCAGACCACAGCAACAAAGACTCAAGGATAGTGCAACTAATTCTGCATGCACAACAGGACTTTGGGGAAAGATTTTTTTCAACAGAGTTCCCTTAAGCTTAATCCAGGACCCTCCTTTCCTCCCTTGCTACCAATATTTAAGGGTAGTTCAGGGGAAAACAGCCATTTGCTGACAACATTTGTTGAAAATTTACTATGGAGACCCAAAAGTCACAAACTTCTTTAGCATCACAAGATTGCAGTCCCTGGGGGACTGATGGGGTACAAACTGCTCCTTCCCCGAATACTCAAACTTGTCCTCTCCTGCTCCAAAGGCATGGATCTATGCCATTCAAAAAACCAAATTCTAGCTGAGCATGACCAAGAGAGCTTGTGGGTTCTCTCACACTAGAGACATTCGAAAAGAAACTGAACAGTTATCTTAGCGGGATGATCTAAATTAGTGCCCTGCAACAGCAAAGGGGTTGGACACAATGGCCTTAATGGACGTTTCCAACACTAGTGTTTTACGATTCTATCACACTAGGCACAACACAAGCACCTTTGGCAATAAAACTTTAAATTGCCCTCTCACAGGCACTTCAAAATCATATACAATTACTTTAAAGGTCTCTCCAAATATTTTGGCATTGCTTAAGTGAAAATGCAACTTCCCTGAGGACTTCAAGGTCTCCACCAATGAGGAGAGAGTATCTTAGGGTGAACTCCAGAACTGAATTTCACTCTAGCAAAAGGATACAGAGTTTAGTGGACATTTTTGAAATCTGGAAGTTCACAAAATAAGTCATTCACTTTATTTGCATCCTACATCAAAATGAATCTTCACCAGAAAAATAGGCTTTGGGCTATCTCAAAAAGTGCATGTGCCAAAGATAGGCAAAATTACACCATGGTTTTACATGAAAAAGAAGCTGTAGAGTTGTGTCCCTTGTGTAAACCCACACAAAGCATCAGCTTGCTAAATTGTTTCAAAATTCACTGCCTAGAAATCAAATTTGCCTACAATTCACACAACATACTAAGCAAGAGAGAGCGCACTTTCTCTGGGGTGGTTTACAAGCCAGCACATTGTGCACTGACTCTGTTAGGGGAAGAGGAACACAGGTCACAGGCATTGGAAGGCCAGAACCAAGGTGATCGGACCCATTCCTCACCTGCAGAAAAGAGTCTCCTCCTCCCTTCCCCATGCCAGCCAGCACTATGGTACTGGATCACATCAGGGGAGAAGAGACACTTCCCCACTTCCTTTTGGCAATGACCTCTTAGTTGCACATTACTGGGGCAGAGGTCTAGAAAGGTTCTGTGGCAGCAAAATAAGCACAGAGGCTACATGCTGTTCATCTTCACATATCTCAACCTTTGCAGCCTTGACTATATTAGGAATGACAAAATGTTGAATACCATGTTCTTTAACCAACAACTCACTTTCTTAACTACAAATTTTCTCTTAATCTGTAATTAGCAACACATCCTTCTCCTCTTGAAAAAAAATATTGATGACCCTGAACACCTTGGTTTCCATTTTCTTTCAAAACCAAAACCCATTCTTGTTTAAGGCAAGATGTCTACCAACATTAAAATATATTTATATACCCACTGTTGTACTTTTGGAAATGTTGCATATCTGTTGAATCCACCTTCAACATGGCCACTCAGCATGATGGAGACTTTAAACCCAATCCTAATGGCTAGGGGCACCAGGCAGGCACACACACAATTCACCTTGCAGAAAAGGATAACTTGCACCCTTAAAATGGCGATTATATTGAAAGGAAAAAATAGAATGGCCATTCTCTTAAGAAAACACATAAAATGGGCCAGTGGGATCTGAGAAGAACCTAGAGGGTCCCAAGGGATCGTGGGGCCTAGGGGTCACAGAGGGGCCACAGAGGCCATGGGAGATGGGAAAGTTCTCACCTTTCATCTAACAAAGAAATTATGTCACCTTCTCTCATCCTTCAGAACTGTCCTAGTCACTTCATCAGAATCTACCACAATGTAAAGACCATGTTGAAGCAAATAAGTGCAACCTTATCAGCAAAGTGTTGCATCAAATTTCTAAAGGCTCCTCGTCACTAACCTGGATAAATAGCCCTATATGTAAAGTACTGGCAAGACTCACTGAGAAGGGGCCACCACTGAAAAGACCTTCTCCCTTTTACTTGCCCCATTTTACAGGGACACCTGGAGTGGGTCTCAGAGGATGACCTAACGTCAGGTAGGTAACCATGAAAGAAGACCATTCTTCAATTAACTGACCCAAGGTATTATGGGCTTCAAAGGTTAAAGTCAACATTTTTAATTGGGTGGAAAAGTGGACTGACAGCCAGTGTTTTTGGCAAAATACTGAAATAGTAATATCACATTATCTAGCTGACATATAAACCCAAAAGGAGAGTTTGGGTTTAAAGTTGTTTCAATTTCTTAAAATGCTTTGAAGTAAGTTTTAAAGAAAACAGGCTGAATCCAGAACAGTTATGGAACTGAATTCCTATGAACTTAAATGGAAAGCACAACTAAATCTGGAACCAGTTCAGTTTGAATAAGGAAAAAGTATATTCAGTTGCTGCTTTCACCAGGCTATTCTGCCCACATTCACTGTACCCACTGTCATAAGCATTGTTAAAAAGCTTCCTAAGCAACTTACAATTTCAACATCAACACTATCAAATATGCTTATTACAGCACTGTGAAACAGAGAATGAGATGTCTGCAAAGCAATACAGAGTTGTTCTTCTACATAATATTATTGCTTTTATATTCGCATAATACTGAAATTATGTATTTAAAAATATACATACGATATTCTATTGACAATAGCATCTTCATCCTCTTGCTCATCTGAAAAACATAATTCTGCATTAAATTTTAGTACAGAGACATGTCCATTTTTACTTCTTGTCTAATATACAGAAAAGCTAGACATGATCAGATGAAAATTGTACTAGTATTTCATTCCAATCCATACTGCTATAAATCAACCTTTGTATGTCCACATATCTTCAATTCAGGATTTGCCAGAATTTACAAAAATACTATTCTTCTTGACAAACAATGAGTGCCTTTACAAATTCTATGGCTGCCCTCCTCAACCTTTCAACCTTAGGATGAGTTGAACTGCATCTCCTATTATCCCCAAACATCAGACACTGGACAACTGCAACATATGCAATTCCTAATTTCTTAACAAACTGTACCATTTTCTACTTTAAGACCATGAAATGTTTTATCTATAACATGGCATAAACTTTGATTATGAATTTGAAAAAGCTACAGATTGAAAGATAAGGTGGAGGAAGGTATGCAACTATATATGTTATTGGGAATTTATGAAAAAAATAAGATAGGACAAACAACAGGGGAAAGTAAGGAAAATAAAAAATATTTCTGGAATTTTGAGCTTTATATAGAAAGCTCCTTTAATATATTCTCAAATTAAAACGATAAAGATATTGTGTAAATTGCCTGCTGAACATATGTAATTCAGTAAGTGTATTAAATATTTACTACATATTTAAGAAAAAAGAAATTTGAATGTTTAAAGGAGTTCATTTTAATAAAATGGTATTTTAATTGCAGTCAGTGTTATCGGGGCAATTATATTTTACTACCTTACAGAAAGCAACTACAAGTTAAATTTTCCAAATCAAGGACAAGCAGAGATATAATAAAAGTAGAAAAAGGAAAATAACATTGTAGAATACAGAAGAATTTTATTACCAAGGCTGCTCAGTTCTTCCAACTCAAATTAACATAATATAATACAGCCCTCTATACTGCCCAAAATTCTGTTCAAAGGGGCTTCCTAGCTCTTTGAAGGCTATTTTGAGGGTCCACTGGGGAAGAAGGGACATAATCCCCCTAACCAGTTCCACTGATGTAACTACTTCTTGTCACAAGCAGATACAACAGAAAAATCTATAGTTTCTTTAAAAACTAAGAAACTTGGAAAATAAGAATGCATGTAATGAAATTAAGAAGAAGAAATACATTGCATTATAAAGTGAAGTTTTAATACTGAAATCTTGTCAAGCTTTCATTTTTGTGGATACCAGATATCTGCGGTGGCGCCTAAGTTATGGAATGCGCTCCCCAGAGAGGTCCGCCTGGCGCCGTCGTTATTTGTTTTTCGGCGCCAGGCGAAGACCTTTTTATTTAAGCAGTATTTTAAATGTTAATATTATTGAATTTTATTTGGCCAGGGCGGCTTGTTTTATAGTGTATGTTTTATATTATATATTTGTATTTTATTGTATGTATTTTAAAATGTTATTTTATTTTTTTGTTGTAAGCCGCCCCGAGGCTTCGGCGAATGGGGCGGCATAAAAATGTTTTAATAAATAAATAAATAAATAATAAAATAAGTGAACAAGAACTAAAATAGATGAAATGGATATATTGAGTAACGCACCATACATATGAATAGTCATAAAAACGATAGATCAGTTTAGCTATCCAGAATCTCTATTTGTTTAGACTACAATCATAAGGCCAGGTATACCAGTAGGATCTTAGTTATTTGCCTATTCGAAAGAAATCCACATACTACATGTTGGCAGATTGGTAGCTAGGTGGCAGCATGACACAGAATAGCAGCTTTCATTTTGACAATCCCATAAAAGATCAGCTAGAAAAAAAATACTGCATCTACCTCCCATCTCTAAATGACACCAAACAAACTACTCTCCTGGAGACCTGTTCTCCCCTGCAGAGGAAGGCAGAACGCGCTCCAACGGAGCAAAGCTCAGGGAGCCAAGGTTTCGTTTGGATGCTTCCTGACAGTCAGGACCCCGAGGGTGTGGAATGGGCTTCCACGGGAGGTAGTTGAGGCCCCATCGGTGCGGGTGTTCAAGGATAGGCTGGACGTTCACATGGTGGGCATGTCGTGAGCGGAGCCGGCTGGTGCCAGAGGTCAGACTAGATGGCCCGGGAGACCCCTTCTGACTCACTCTGTTTTCTATGTTTCTATGTTTCTAAGCTATTCTGTAGAATGAATTTCCAACTGAAAGCCTTTATTATGTTAATGCTGGCCAGCCTGCCCGGCTTTGAAGAAGAAAAGCAGGTTGCTTACCTGTAACTGATGTTCTTTGAGTGGCCATCTGTGCATTCACACATATGGGTGCTGCGCCTGTGCAGTGCCTAGGCCGGAAGATTAGAAAGCTAACGGTTTTCGGTGGGAAAACTCCGCTCCCTCCCCGCCATGTGGTATAAATAGAGCGGAGTGTCCGCCATTTTACTCAGTCTTGAAGATCGAACGTTCGCCCTCTAGAGGTTGAAAATAAATCACAACAATCATTTTAGTATCCTAACAGTACCGATGGATATTAGAGTACAGTACTGAGAGGAAAAAGAAAAACATCCACTCACCAACACCGAGTGGGGCCGGTGGGTGGGTTGTGTGAATGCACAGATGGCCACTCGAAGAATGTCAGCTATAGGTAAGCAACCTGCTTTTCTTTGTCGTGGCCTCTGTGCATCACACATATGGATGATTAGCAAGCTTACCCAAGTTGGAGGAGGGAGGTGTCGTCATCGAAGAACAGATGAAAGAACAGCTCTGCCGAAAGAGCAGTCTTGCCTGGCGCATATATCAAGCCAATAGTGCTTGGCGAAAGTACATGCCAGCCCACACAGCAGCCTTGCAAATATCCTGAAGCGGAACCCCTGCGGCAAAGGCGGATGAAGTCACCACTGCTCGAGTGGAGTGGCCTTTTGGAAAGACAGGTAAGTCTATTTTTGATAGTTGGTAAGCCAAGACAATAGGCTGGACAATCCAATTAGAGAGTCTTTGAGATGTAATCGGTGACCCTTTATTATGGTCCGAGTACTTAACAAAAAGTCTATTGGAGCAATGGAAGGGCTCTGCACGGGATCTGTAGAAGGCCAAACAGCAGCGAACATCAAGCGTGTGAAAAGCCCGTTCTACTGGATTCGATAGTGATGGAAAAAACACCAGCAAAACAATGTCTTGACCTAAGTGGAACAGCGTAGCCACTTTAGGGAGAAATGAAGGATCCATGCGAAGAATAACCTTTTCCTTATGGAAATTTAGATATGGTGGGTCTATGCGAAGAGCACAAATTTCACTTGCTCTCCGAGCCGGTGTCACTGCCACAAGGAAGGCCGTTTTCCAAGACACTAGGCGTAGGTCCACAGTTGCTAAAGGCTCGAACGGTGGCTTAGTAAGCGCTTGTAGCGCTACCGAAATGCTCCACGTTGGCATAGCAGGGCGGACAGAAGGATGTAAATTCTGTAATCCCCTAATGAAGTGTCGAACCAGCGGTTGAGAAAAAACTGATAAACCATGAACAGCGCCACAATAATGTGATATGGCGGCTGTATAAACTTTAATGGATGATGGTCTAAGTCCCGAATGATGCAGTTCCAAGAGAAATTGCAAGATATTGTCGACTGAAGTCATTCCAAGAAGAAAGGAATGGCGTTCTGCAAAGGAGGAGAATCTTTTCCATTTAGCCGCATAGGAACGATGAGTGGAAGGTCTCAAAGCAGATTCAAGAATTGTCCGAATTTCCTGGTCAGTAGCCATCGGTACGGAAGCAATTGTTGTCGAACCCAAGGTAAGACGCAGCTGTACAGTTCGTTGAACAGGTTCCTTCGTAGAGTAAGATGTCGTCGGTACCGTCTCAGCAAGACGGTTCAGCCGATCCGCCATGCCATCAGCTTCAAGGAGGTCATATCTGGATGCCGAACTGCTCCGTCCTGTTGCGTCAACAGTTGAGGAATATTTGGAAGGCGAAGAAACGTTCCTTTGGATAGATGCAGAAGAGTGGCAAACCACGGCTGCCTCGGCCACCATGGAGTTATTAATATCCCTGTGGTGCAGTGTTGAGCTATTCTCACCACCACCTTTGTTAGAAGTGGGATTGGAGGGAAGGCATAAAAAGTCATGTTGGTCCAAGGGACCATAAGAGCATCCCCCATCGCTCTGGAACAGTACCGGGCACACACCCTGTTGTTCTGGGTGGCAAACAGGTCTATTTCTGGGTAACCCCACAAGCAGAAGAGCTTCGCACAGGTTTGTCTGTCAAACTCCCACTCGTGGGTTGTTAACATCTGTCTGCTCAACATATCTGCTTCGATGTTGTTGGTTCCTGCCAGGTGAATCGCTATGAGCATTATGCCCCTCAGTATGCACCAATCCCAAATGTCCATTGATAGACATGCTAGGACTGGTGATTTTGTGCCGCCCTGCTTGTTTATATAGAAGACAGCACGTATGTTGTCCGACACAATCTGGACAACCTGACAGCATAGCACAGTCTCGAGAACCTTGAGGGCGTTGAAAATTGCCTGAAGTTCAAGGACGTTGATGTGTTTCCTTGCTTCTCGTCAGATCCAAGTGCCCTGGACCCGAAGTTCCGAACATGTCGCACCCCATCTGATGAGCGATGCGTCGGTATACAGGGTTGTCGTTGGCTGAGGCAGTCAAAATGGGACGCCGATGGAGAGGTTGGTTGACATAGTCCACCAAGTCAGAGTACGGAGGATCGTGAACGGAATCCGAATCAATTTGTTGGAAGAATCCCGTTGCGGGTGAAATGAAGCGTTGAAGAAAAGTTGAAGGGGCTGCATACGCAGTCTGGCATATGGGACCATGGCAACTGCAGCAGCCATGTGTCCCAGTAGTCTCTGAATGGATATGGCTGGAACTGTCCCATGCAGTCGGAGTCGATGAATGTGGCTGCATAAGATATCTCGACGTTCCGGAGGAAGGAAGGCTATTTCCCATATAGAGTCGAGACGTGCTCCGATGAAGTCGATGACCTGCGTGGGAATAAGGGATGATTTCTTGTGGTTAATGCAGAGACCAAGATCATCGA